GTGTATGTATGTGTGTGTGTGTGTGTGTGTGTGAGGGAGTGTGTTTGTGTTTGTGTATATGGATATATTTAGTATGTTATACTTGATCGTCAGAAGGTGATATCATTCGATTCTATCATTTGCTTATTTGACGCGTGCCGCCAGCATTAATAATATCAATCACTTCAATTGGAGCCAAAGAACAATATATCACATACCTGGTGGTCGTTATTAGGCCCAGTCTTGCTTAGCACCCGGCGGTAATATATCAGAGCCACAATATATACTGATCGACTCACATCAGCTCGGTGCAATAAATGTCTAACGAACTGCGAGAAATTCTCTATTTTGTGAGAATGACTGTGTTGCGGAAATTTGAAAATGTCTGTATCTGGCTTGAAAATCGATTTAGGATTCTTCACCGCGGGTTGTGACTGTTGCTCCTGTTGTCGTAGTTGCTGGTGCTTCTGATGGGTAATTGTCCTTCTCTCGGCCTCTGCATAGTTGTAGTTTTCATTCTTACAAGCACTGTCTTGAAATGTGTACGGGGGAGGAGGAACGGGAGCATTGCCCTTCTGTGTACTCTGTAGAGGAGAACTATCCCCACTGTCGTGCGAAGAGACAGATATGAAAGTATTGGCGTCGGCATCCAGGTTTGTTGAAATCCCATCTCTTGTATGTTTTCCCAAGATTGGATGCATTTTACTATTCTCCCTATAGTTAGTATTGTCATAATTGCCATCCGAGATCTCTATAATTGAGTGTACATCTAATACTATAGTATCTTGTGACATTTCGGGAACCTCGTGCCTGACGGAATGAGGGGCAGCTACTCTGATTACTTTCCCATTTTTATTATTTACTGATGGCTGTATAAACCATGCGCCCAACTTGGAAATGGAGGAGGAGAAGCAACTCAAAGTCATTTTGGTGCTACGACTCAGATGATACACGTACACTAATGCGATTCGAGTCAGGAAATACTTCAGTGTATGGCAGCCTAGTAGCAGGAATGATACTACACTAGTATGCAGTGAGAAGGTGTTAAACATCCAAAATGTGCTAGCACAACGATGGCGGTTGAACAACCCAAATGCGATTGTTATGCAGTGCTGTAATAATGGATATATGCGAAAATTTATACACATAAATATACATACGGATGCGTAATGAATTACAAGATAGTGTCTTTCATACGAGATATGATAATTATAGTCAGTTGTGCAGTGGGCAATGAAGCCCTGTTATTTATTTATATATTATTTAAAAAAAACAGAAGACCAGATAGCAGTACTTCCAATTATGCAACGCAGCTTCCACACATAAGATTGTAAATTTGGGATAAAGCTTTTTTAAAAGTTTGCGACACTCTTTACGCTATTCTCCACTCTATTCTCCACGTATTTAATTTAACTTTTGAGTGAACAGCAGGACGACACTCGACAGCCGACAGGTACAGGACATTTTCTAAATATACGCTAGCTGGTCATTCTAATGCGTCAACGACTCAGTGAGCATTTTTGAAAGAAAAAAAATTTGAGGTTCTGGATCAAAACCCTGCATCACTGTGATTTGATCACTAAGTTCATTGGGAGTTTCCGTGGCAACTCGACTCTTTGTGAAATTTTACTGGAGGATAGTGCGGAGATGAAATTTATAGAGAAAAGAAGCAAAAAAAACCCCCTATTAGACTCTATAGAGTTTGCAAAAACTTCGGTGAGCCACTCTGAATCTGAGCCTTTTCCTTTCTTTTCAATCAGAAATAATCTCTCTCTCTCTCTCTCTCCTTCTCTCGCGCGGTAGTCGCCTAATACGCACTACTAAATACATGCATAGTAATATTTAATTTTGGACCAGAAATATGCATTTGTAAGATGACGGGGCCACATCGGCACATCCACAGTGAATCTATTACTCTGAGTATCAGTGGCACAGTCCATAGTCCAGACCCCATAGTTCAGACTCTGCATTGAGATCGTGGTGCTTTACATAACCTTCTAAATCAGACAAGAATGTTTGATTTAGAATCCTATGTGCTTTACTATTATAAGTTCGACGACTGAATAACTTCAAGACCTTAGGCCTCATCGCACATGTGTTCACCTTGTAGCCAATGACAATATACAGAAGCAGCAGCTAGGCTGAATATACATTGTCACTGCGATCAAATGTAAGGAACTACCAAAATGTGTGAACATCATTCGCAGCCCATTGTTGGCCGCATTGCCAGGCGCAACTCGTGCATAATTAGAGTGACATATATAGATTACAAATCATCATATTTTATGCTCTGCTTTCAATCCTTAAATACTTATGTGCAAATTATAAGCCTCGCGAACTCCCGTAGATACAAGCAATTGTGATGTGAATCTATAATCCCACGTAGGCGGGTCTTCTGAGAAGCTGCAAGCGTCATTGAAGAATTTTACAGTACCGGTTTCTTACCGATGCTTGAAAACTATACTAGCTTGCATGTATAGACGGGCCTCCTGAGAAGTTGCAAGCGTCATTGAAGAATCGTATAGTACAGGTTTCTTACCGATTCTTAAAAACTATACTAGCATGCATGTATAGACAGACTTCTTGCTTGTCGCTACCCCAGATTCTAAATATAAGCTATGTCTTGTACCCAATGACAACCCACTTGCTATAGGAGGGAGCTTCATACGACTCCCAAAAATACACTCTGAATGTTCAATCTGCAAATAGATTGTGTGTTGTTGTGCCCCATTTGTATTACTGCAAAAAGTCTTTCTGAAAATGCGTAATATTGGCTATAAATGCCAATTACAGAACGGATTTCCGAAGCCAGCAAAGGCATTGTTTTATAACGCATAATAGATTATCTGCCAGTCTTTTATTTTCACTCAGTCGTTTAACTGCTCTCCTTAATACATGATATAGAGAGGCAGTGGGGAGCATCAAAGGTGGCTCTTATACCACTAACAATTGCGAAATACGTTTCTCGAACTGCCTTTCTTTCACAAGACCACACTTTGAACACTATTGAACTACAACATTACGTGTCTAATATTTGTCAAGTCTGAACACTGGAATTCATAACACGCGCTAAATAAACTTGCCGGTAGTATTCTATTGAACTGAAGAGCCTCCAATATTTGCACTGCCGCCCACACGAACGCAGTGATGGCTTTTTATATACACCGACGACTCGGGCCACAGTGCCCATCATTCCGTCGGCCTCTTCGATATGAATGACATCCTGATTTTGCTTTGCTATATTTTTAAGTTTTTATGCAGCTAGACTGCCTGCAAACGCATATTGTTTGTAGTAACAATCCCTTGGCAATTCGAAGGCCATTTAAGCGTTCACTGTGAAATTAAAGAGGAAAGAAAAACTTAGAACAGTGTTCAAATTTTAAGTTGTATTCTTTCGTAAGGTGAACTAACGAATTGTCGGGAGTCACGGCTATAGTATATATATCCAAGGAAACCCATACAGTGCAAGCAAGGTCAAATCAACTAGAAGACAAAATCAAATTGACCAATACTGGGTCTGTTGATGCGTGGTAATTCACAAGAGCTTACTGTATAGTGTGACGTCTAGCTGATCAGGCAGCGGTGTAATCTCGACTTCGAATCGAGACTGGACCTCGTTCAGGATTTCAGAATCCTCCTTAGAGGCGATGAAAGAAATGGCTAGACCTTTGGTTCCGAAACGACCGGCACGGGCCACCTATTTAACAAGGGTAAATTGTGTGCATATGTGAGTTTCATGGCAACCACATAAGAAGTTAGCTCAGAAGTACCAATCAGGCTACATATGAATCTGTGCCATATATATTCAAAGACAGGCTTTATGAGAGACAAGGTAATGAAGCTGGTAAGAACCCGCATCAGCCGATTCAGCGAGCTAATGCAGATTGTTTTGTGGTGAGGGTTTTAGGCGACGAACCGATGTAACAATAGTCAAAACTTACTCTGTGTAGGTATGTATCTGACTGATCAGACATGTCGAAGTTTATAACGATGTTGATACGCTCGATATCGATTCCACGCCCCACAAGATCAGTCGCAACAAGGATACGTTTCTGGAAGTCCTTGAACTCTTTGATCATCTCCAAGCTACAGACAAATTGTTTGATTTTGAAAAATTTAGAGCGAGAAAATAACCGTGTATGTTTGAAATGTACATATATTGATTCCACGCCCCACAAGAACAGTCGCAACAAGGATGCGCTTCAGGAAGTCCTTGAGCTCTTTGATCATCTCCAAGCTACAGACAAATTGTTTGATTTTGAAAAATTTAGAGCGAGAAAATAAAACTTCCGTGTATGTTTGAAATGTACATATATTATACTCTTGATTTCATTCTAAAAGAGTACCCTCCCGCACCCCAAGCGGACACTCACAATACAATAGGGATGGAGAATCAATGCGTTATCGATGCTCGTTACCAGAAAAAAACCCCCGAAACGCTGATTCGATGCTCATGTGCATAAACATATAAAAACTCGCTTATATATGTATATAATCTTAGTGGGTGTCATTTATATGTATAGCATTCTGCATAGCAATATTGATACTAATATTAATATATTATAACGAAAGCCATACATATAATGATGTACCAGCTATGATACGCATAAGCGTATACAATGCGACATACCGTTGCTCTTGGCTGAGACCAGTGTGTAACGCGATGGCTGGGAAGTTGCAATCACACAGCAAATTACACAGAGCCTTTGCTCGGCTAACAGACTTGACGAAGATTACTACTTGGTTGAACTCGAGTGCATCGAGTAAATCTGTGAGTTTTCGGTTCTTGGCTCCCTCGGTAATTTTGACGTAGTGCTGCTGAAGACCGTGCAATGTAAGCTTGGTCTCGTCGTCTACGTAGATCTCCATGGGCTACATCATGTACATGTGTGTGAATACAGAAAAGCATTGTCAGTGGATACAGACACAGAAATATATTGCTGTGTACCAAAGGTGCGCAGAACACAAAAGAACCATGCGCGTAATACATGGGAATGATTATCAATTAAAGATTAGGAGAGTTAAGATTTTACACAATATTGCCTAAATATGTATTGTTTTCCACCCCTCAATAAATAGTGCCGCTCACATCCATTTGGTTTGAGAAGCATAGTACAGAATATCACAATACAAACACATCGGTTGCTAGACGGGCAACAGTAAGACCACTGAGTAGTACAAGACGGCTCCACATCTACACATTTTTAAAGTGTACCAAATGCATTCGCTACATACTATACTCTCGTAAGCTTCAGAGACGCAATTGAAACTCAGCATAAAACTATAATTACTGCACATTGTGATTTCAATAACACATTTCACGTAAGGAACATAACTACTCACAACCTCAGCAATAAAGTCGACGACCGCTCAGATGATGAGAGTACCCCCCTCTCTCACACACAAGCTCTTCTAAATATACATTGCTATATCGATAAGAGGATAGGCAATAGCCCATAATGACCACACAGCCACTAACCATATTTGTAGAAAATACGCGACAGTTTGTAAATTCAACTTACGTCTCTCATAAACTTTTTGCAGATTGGTCGGATCTCCTTTGAGAGTGTTGCACTGAACATCATCACTTGTTTTGACTTGGGGCTTTGCTTAAAGATCAGCTGTACATCCCGACGCATATCAAGCGAATCCAGCATCTTATCACACTCATCGAGCACAAAGTGCTTGAGCTTGCTCAGATCGAGCGAGGGCTTGGTGTTGCTGCCAATTGCGTTGGTGGCAAGTGACAGAATACGTCCCGGAGTTCCCACCACAATATGGGGGTGGGATCGCTCATCCTTCAGGATTTTATCATCGTTTGTGATAGCAACGCCACCGAAGAACACCGCTGTGCGTACACCCTCAATGTACTTTGAGAAGCGCTCGTACTCGTTCTTGATCTGGAAGGCAAGCTCACGTGTGTGACACATAACCAGCACGCTCACTTCCCCATCCTTGATCTCCAACTGCTGCAACGTAGCGAGAACAAAGACGGCTGTCTTACCCATACCAGACTTCGCCTGGCAGATCACATCCATACCAAGGATGGCCTGGGGAATGCACTCATGTTGCACTGCACACGCACGCGGATAAATGAAATCAATGGAACAGATATTGTGAGTGGTGAGGTATACACCACTCAAACTTGGTATAATTGTTTTTGCCAAAATGAACTTCGTATGGTTCCCGTATAGATAATAAAGAAGAATATTAAAAGTTTTTGAGTAATCCGACGTAGTCTCGCCTGGCAGCAGCTTATACCAAACTGCCCTCTACTATTTCGCTTGGCACGACACAGATATATCCTGAAGATGCGTATAGTGTGGTAGAAACTGCAGCGTTGCACAATACACGGCGTCACATATATTCCACACCTTCTGAAGGGTGCTCGAAACCACAGTCGACAATCGATTTCAAAAGTTCTGGTTTAAGCAAAAAGTCGCGGAAACCTGCCGTGTGAATTCCTACATAACCCTTCTTTGCTGTAGCACCATCAGTCTTGGGCTCCTCGGTGGGCTCAATAACATCCTCCTCGTAATCCAAGAGTTCCTCGTTCACGTCACCCATTGTGGTTTAATTTTTAATGCTGCAGTAGACGTAGACGTTTAGGGATTCGGGTCAACAAACAAAAACGTGCAGATGGAGGTGCTTATTCGCTGGTTAAGTTGCTTTGTGTGAACGTGGAATCCCGACGCCATTTTAAGACTGGGAAAGGTTCCCAAGGGGACAGAAGTGCACAGTGTCGGGGTCAGCTGCGAACTCGGGCTTTGATTCAGCTTGGCAGATTTTTGCACATGCTTATCGCAAGACCGCCATAACTGAATGGCAAATGCTAAATTGATCGGTTGATCTCCATCACGTCCGCTGCACACCAGAAACCTTCGCACCTCCGAACCCCCATTTTACCCTCTTATATCTCCATGGTATGACAGAGAGTCCGAATTGTGCATAAAATGACATGTTGTTATCGTTCGTTGTTTAAGTACATACGTGTGTGCTAAATGCGTTGCCGTCTTAAGGGGTATGCTTCAAACACTCAAAAATTGCTTACCAGAGAAAAGGAGTTGTATGTACGGATCTGAAGTCAGGTAACACAATCCCGGCTGTATATTATTGTGTTTACTGATAGATTTCGCATAAATATTGTCGAGTATTTTCAGACTAGTTTCCGCCTTTCGATATACCGCACGCTTTCCCCCGGCTAAATACCTGAAGGCTGAAGCACTGATTTACCACGTTTGTCAGTTGCGAAAATTTTATACAAGAAATATGGAAGTTTGTTAAAAAAAAAATTGTACATACCCTCCAATTCCCCGTCATCGCTGTAAAGAATCTATTTTTAAACAGTATGGTTACTGATTTGAAAATGAAAATTATTTTATTATATTTTCCTGTTGTTGCATTTTGGATATAAAAATTTGGAATGTAAAATAATTATGTACAAATTTCATGACCGTCTACGAGAGAGAGAAGTGAAAATTAAATATAACTATGGCTTATCGGACTAACGCCCGAAGAACAAAATAGCTCTGGATGTAGATAGCCAAAACTGAAAACTGGGCCGGTAGCAGAAAGCAGGGGTAAATACGTAGAGCTGGTAAAAAAAAACGTAGGTATTTTCATAGGCTTCTAAATTTAACATTGGCTATATCATACAGATACTTCATAGCGCCTTCTAAATCTTTAAAACCCATTATTAGAAGGCTATGGCCTATGAGGCTATGGTATTCGATTTTTGAATATATATCCGTTCTATTTATTTTACAACCGGCACAGCAAGGGCACAAGCCCAACGGGCACACAACAAGAGGCCTCAACACAAGCCCGCCACAATGATCAAGTTCTTGAATCCAGTAATCCACGTCAACAGAACTTCTTCAAATATATTTTTAAAAAGCAATATTAACTGGACAGTGATCCTCTGCCAAAGGTTGATTGGAACGTTAGCGGATACCATCATACCAAAACAAAGGGCACGATGTTCGCCAATAGGTATTCGATTTATTCTTGTATTGACAACTCACAATACTCATGGAAATTAAAACCAATGAGTCATTATATTTTAGATTTAGTATTTTTTTTTTAAATTTATACTATATTCAAGAAAAACCAAAATACATTTATTTTTGTACATACAAAGGATTTTTTTATTAAAATGTATTTTTAAATATATGCATAAAATTATAATTTTATATTGTTACAAAAATAGATAACAGTTTACTATTTAGTACCGAACCGCGAATATCTCATGACCATAAATAAAAATATCTCAACTACATTTCATATTTGCCTCATTTTTTAAATAAATAAAAATATCAAAATGTTTTTTTGGATAGAGACTTTTTTTTTTAAATTTGTAGACGTCTTCCTTTTATGATTTTTACCGTAGCGGGCATAGCCTTCTACTGGGTGTTTTTTTAGAAGGCTAGTGTTTTTAAATATAAAATATGTATTTAAAATATTTACATGTTCTATTTTCAGAAGGCTATGATTTTACAAATTTATTTATTTATAATATTTGTATATATAAGTACATATGTAACCGAATTTTTTAATCTTTTATAAAGAAAATCGTATCCTTGGATGCTCACCACTCGTGGCTCGGTCAAGGCGCTGGCTCACGTCACTGCAAATCAGCTCCACCTCTGCCGTTGCGAGTGAGCGACTGCAGAGTGCAGACCGGACTTGGTCGAGAGCACTTTGTAGTACCGAGTTGCTGAGACTCCGCGCCCCTGACTGCTGAGTGCAGGGTGCTGAGTGCTGACGGCTGAGAGTCTGTGAGACAGTGACTCATGCCTGCTGCACTGCCGACTACAGAAGGGCCAACAGCACATGACCTGCAAAACCACAATCCAATCAATTTAGTGCTAATGCTAAATAGACCAATATGAGTAGAGCCCTGATGATATTTCTGAAAAAGCCACCAGGGATAAATATAAACTTGAATCGTTAATATATAAATAGAACAGTTTAATTCAAAAAAATGACACAAGATTCTGAAAATCTGCTATGCCAACACAAATATTTGCTATTCTGTTCCAAAATATTGTACATAACACCTTGTAAAAGATACCTTTGAATGGTCCAAAAAAAGTTTGTGTGTAGGTAAACCTGAAGGATATTTCAAATTCGGGGCAAATCGAAATCTAAAAGAATGGAATGTCTACGTGAAACTCCTTGAAATAAAGCTAATCTCATTGGTGAATAGTCACTACCAATTATGCACTTTATGAATTCGAGCCAATATTTTATATGTTTGTACCCTTGATTTGAGATATTCCCAAGATGGGTAAACATTGCATTTTTTTGTCGTAATTCTAGTCACGCCGTCGGTCAATAGTTTGGACTGGCTTGCTCTTTCGCCGAAACGCGAGATAAAATAATACAATAACAAACAACAATATAGTTCTCGCCGGTCGGTGACGATTTCACAGTCGATTACGGTGCCAAAATTACGAACGGACGGATAGGACAAACAAAGAAAAACAAAACATAAACACCATTAGTCTTACACTCCCACCCAATTTCATACTAAACTATACTTAACATGTCAACTGATAGAGAAGATTGCGTCTACAAGGCAAAGCTTGCTGAGCAAGCCGAGCGCTACGATGGTAAGAGACTATGTTTGTATCTCAATGCTTCCCTTGTCGCATATGTTAGAAATCTGTTCTTTGCTGAGTCCTGTTATCGTTGATATAATTTCGTCGCGCACGTACTTGTCAAATTTGTTAAATTCTGTGAATGGTTGCTGCTTCATTTTGTTAGCGTGTTTTATTTAGCGCCACAGCTAACTATTAGTAACTACACTGTATTTTATGCTCTGTGTAACTTTCTGTATTGTCTTGTATCTTGAGTGCGAATCGTGCATCCTGTATTCTAACCAGATATCTTTTTGTACCTTGCACGCAAATGAATTCTTTATCGTTATAGAGATGGTTGATGCCATGAAGAAGGTGGCCTCCCTAGGTGAGCAGCTTACAGTTGAGGAGCGCAACTTGCTTTCCGTCGCTTACAAGAACGTCATTGGTGCCCGACGTGCTTCATGGAGAATCATCTCCAGCATAGAGCAAAAGGAAGAGTCTAAGGGAAACTCAAACAAGGTTACCATCGTCAAGGAATACCGCCAAAAGATCGAGAAGGAACTAGAGGATATCTGTGCTGGTGAGTGATTTTATATTTCAACTAATTTCGAGCGAATTTGTTTTGTACCTTCTTTTCAAACTGTAGCAGGGACAGGTCAAGTCAGACGATGTGTATATTTGGATTCCTGTCACTAATGCGGTTGTCTTGTTCATTTCTACAGATGTTATGAAGGTTCTTGATGATGACCTTATTCCCAACGCTGAGAAGGGTGAGCCCAAGGTATTCTACTACAAGATGAAGGGTGACTACCACAGATACCTTGCCGAGTTCTCGTCCGGTGAGAAGCGCACAGGTGCTTCAGACGAGTCCCTACAGGCATACAAGGCGGCTTCCGGTATGTGCTTTTCGCCCTAGAGTATATATGATTGATGCACTTTTTTGCTGATTTAACACTTATCTTCATCGCAAAACGTTCTGTGAAATCAAGCTTTCTCAAGGTGTTGAATGTCTTCCCTCCATTGCAGATATTGCGACCACAGAGCTTCCCCCTACCCACCCCATCCGTCTTGGTCTAGCCCTGAACTTCTCAGTATTCTATTACGAGATCTTAAACTCGCCCGATCGTGCCTGTCAGTTGGCCAAGCAGGCGTTCGATGATGCTATTGCCGAGCTAGACACCTTAAGTGAGGAATGCTACAAGGACAGTACCCTAATTATGCAATTGCTTCGCGATAACTTGACGCTCTGGACCTCAGATATGCAAGGCGATGCAGACGCGTCCAAGGAGGACGAGAAGAAGGACGAAGAGTAATTAGTCTATTGTATTTGTAATTCGCTCTACCTACGCAAAAAAAGAAATTGTCGTTGTACTGAATTATATAGTGCATGTACAAATGTTATCTATCTGTAAACGATGGGCTCTCTAGATCGGGAGTGTGACAACCCTAAAAATAAAGCTGTACCAAAACAACTCCTTCGCGTGAGTGCCTCTTCCTTCGTCGGAGACTTCAGTCGGCCTACTGTGCTGTGAACTCTTCAAGGAGGTTTTATTCGTCAAGCCGTTTGGAAGATTCAAGAATGCGCTTCTCTGCTTTCAACGAGAATTAGTCATCGACTGGGTAATTCTTGTATTTTATTTCCCCCAAGTGGGTTGCTTTTGTTGTCGGTCAAATGTGTACATATAGGCTTGTTTCTGATTGTTATTCGTGCAGAGGTGCTCAGTTCCGATTATGGCTAGCATGTGATTAAAATGACAGACCGTCTTGATGTCTTCCCGTTGTGAGTTGCCTGGTCCTCCAACCACCTGTAATTCGGTGCAATATATTTGTTGCAGAGATTGGGGGTCGTTAGCTGCGTATGAAAGGTTGCATGTACATCTTGATTTGTGTCTATATCCAAGTTGTTGTCATCGGATGTTTTTCTGAGATGACGAACCTGACAAACTGTTCATCCATAGCAACCAATCACGGCGGAACATGATGGCGAAATGTCCGCGTATGTTTCTACTGCGAGCACTTAAGAATCCAACTTTAAATATAAGTGAACTTGAAAGCTTGGTGAAGATGTTTTCAACCTACGATTGGAAATACGTAAGCCGTGTTAGAGCCCAGCAAACAACCTTTATATTACAAGGATAATAAACGAAAAGATTACTATGGCACGTATATCCTGAGCCACCTATTTTGATGTGCGATACAGGAGAATACATATGGAGTCTTCTCAAGTATGTTGCTATATCTGTATAAACCTAACCATTAGACATACACATGTGTATATATATAAATATAACTCTATTAAAAATAATCTTCATATACACGTATATATATATATATATATTAATATCTATCTATTAAACATATCTTTATATACACGTAATATATATATATAAATATATATATTACGCGTATATAAAGATACGTTTAATAGAATAATATAAATATATATATATATGTAAATATATATATATATATGTATATATATATATATATATTTATATATATATATTCATTTTTCTATGTATTT